CAAGACGAGTCTTGTCATACGAAACAAAATTAATTTGTAGTGAAATAAAGTTCATATGAAGTAATTCAAGTTTGTCTTCTAATCTTAATCTTATATATATATATATATATATATATATATTGTCAGAACAAGCTGCCATGGCCTGTTTTGTGACATGAAATCAGACAACACAGTAAAACCCTGCATATAATAAGATATAATAAGAACCTAGATTTTTTCCAAGTTAGCCTAAACAGGTTCTTATGTGAATGGTGCTTACCTGACTGTTCATGTCACAAACTGTAATTATATTTAGTATATTCAGTATTTTCAGGGGAGCATAAGCCCTTGAGTCATATTCATGCCTGTTGTGATCAAGAGACATGACCAAGAAAAGTAAAATATGTTTAATAAAGCAAAACAAACAGGCCCAATATATACAGCAATACAGCAATAGTAAAATAATCATTACAATGCCTAATAATTGTTTATAAATTATTTGTATTATCATATATTCATATAACCCAATAAATCTGTTTTGAAAAAGAAAGATTCGTTGATTTAAATAAAAATTTCATCAGTGTTTCCTGAGCATTCTGATGAGCTCTGATAGGCCTATAGAGCGAAACAAGCATATATTCAGCAATTGTCCTCTGTCTTGAGGGACATGATGAACTAACATGATCACTAGATTGACCAGAATTGTTGAAGTTAATATTACTATTAGATCATTCAGTGTCACAACAATATCATCATTTAGTGTCAATATGAGAGTAATCTCAATGAATTCATACTTCCAGTTCATAATTTCAAAACATACATTTTTATAACACAAAAACGTTGAATATAGGCTAATCTTAGCATCTGGTAACTCTCGTCACTGTCAATCTATTGTACTCTTCTGTTGTTTATAACGAAATCATCTCCATAGCGCGCACGAGCTTGAACAAAAGCTGTTTATCCAGCTTTTGTACGGTCACAAATTTCGCCCTTGGCTTTGCCACGAAGACAGCTAGGAACTGCAGCCACATTCTCAATCACACTTGTTTCGAATTTCGTCATGCGAAAAGCTTTGTCCCAAAGCGCTTCTGTCATAATGACAACAACAACACTGGCAACATGTTTCGAGGGATTGATACCACATTAACTAATTTCACGATGAGACACAAATTCCAAAGGTAAACACAAATTATTCGAACTCACACCTTCGGGATTTTGGTTCGCCGCCCCAGCTGTTGATATAGCAAGTCACACAAGGTTCAAAGCGGCCTTTTTATAACGTTATTCGCGATGTTTACAGTTAAACAGTTACAGTATAAGATTGTGTTATTGTGTACAAAAATTTCGAGAGTAGAAATGTACCGAGAAATGAAGCGAAATATTGTCAAACATTGCACTCACAAATCAGGCATACTTCGAAACCCGGACCCGGACCCGGACTCGGACTCGAAGAAAATCCGGACTCGAGAAAAACCCGGACCCGGACTCCAAGAAAATCCGGACTCGTGTTTAACAAAACCCGGACTTGACTTTTGAAAACCCGGACTCGAAATAAGGCAAAACCGGATTCAAATCAAGGACTCTGTGTACGAAAATGCAAAGGTTTTTTGGAAAGGTTTAATAATTAGTAACATGATAAACGATGATCTCTTTATATCTTTATCTCGATATTTTTAATCTTCTGCTGTTAACAAAATAATCACTTAGATATACTGGAACCAAATAATTTAGGCACTTATAAGTTATTAAAAACTAAAATGTATTGATGCACAACGATCTACAATTAGTAGCTAGTACGAGGGTAGCATGTTGATTGTTGATTCTCAAAATAACGTTAACTTGATTTATTGTCAAACTTCATTGTCAGTATCGAGCCGCGGTTGTATGCAAGACATATGGGGCAATTGATGAACGCATTGCCTAACGAGAGAGTCTCAATATCAAATTTACGCCAACCATCCAACGCGAATTTCACTGTCGGCCGCGGGTGCAGGCTTGCAGCTGTTGCTTTCATTGTGATGTGTTTTCTACTACTTTCGGATAAAGAATAATTGCGGGTGTTCAATTCGTGTTTATGGACTTTATATTAACGAAATAGAGAAAATAAACGTGTTTCCAGTAGCGTCTTGTCCAACTATTTGAGAGCATGTTATAATATCAAATTTATGTCCATTCGCACAACAACGCTCGAATTACTTCACAGTCGGTATTTAGGCGCGGTTGCCGCGATACATTCATTGCCTTCAACATGAGATGTGCTTTTCCGGCGTTCTTTTCGATTGGTTGAAGTTATACTTTTGATTGGTTGAAGTCTAGTTATTTTTCGTGTCATTTTGCCGATAGTGAGGTCGAATATGTTGAGGATATATTTTACCCTTGCCGCCATCGATCACGTTGAGTCTGCTATGCTGAGTCAGATTTCAGTTATTAATTTATATCTAGGGTAGATTTAGCTACTCGCAGGCCTGATTATGTATTTTACAAATATGTTGTGTATGGTCAGCGTGGTTAAATAAATTTTTAAATTAAGTAAGTAAGTAAGCAAGTATATGTACAAGGGGTTAAATGATTTGTTTAGGTAGAAAAGCGAGAAGAAAAAGGGGCACCCGCGCAAGAGCACAAATCCATTTATCCGCGAGTTATTACCGATAAAACCTTTGCATTCTCGTGCACAGAGTCCTTGTTTTGAATCCGGTTTTCTCTATTTCGAGTCCGGGTTTTCAGAAGTCAAGTCCGGGTTTTGTTAAACACGAGTCCGGATTTTCTTCGAGTCCGGGTCCGGGTTTTTCTCGAGTCCGGATTTTCTTCGAGTCCGGGTCCGAGTCCGAGTCTGGTCCGGGTTTCGAAGTATGCCCACAAATCAGATGTGGAATGTTACTTTGAACTCGTCATATACTTTATCTTATATAATTAATGTGGATCAAAACAAAAAACGTAAACAAAGTCCGCACATGCGCAGAAGGGACTGTAACCTACCTTTAAACAAATATATTGTGCTCCTTATTCATTGTTGACAAAAATTTCAAAGAAAAATTGCCTATTCACATTGCAAGGCCAAAATTATGTACATAATTTCAGAGTAATAAATAAAATAAACCACTTTACCAATGACAATAAGTGAGAGTCTTTAATGGATATAGTGACAGTCTTTGCAATTTCACATCATGATGAGCCAAAAATCCCAAAAGTTGTATTGTATTGTATTGTATAGTATTGTATAAATCTTAAAATATTAAAAGCAACACCTCACAACAAACGTGCGGGCTTACAATTTGCACTTACTTATCAATAATTATTATACTAATTACTGTATTAGTATTGATATTATTCATTAATAGAGCTAAAATACCATTATTATAATGTTTAATGTAGTTCCTAAGAAGTTGATTTCTAATTTAAAAATATCATATGAAGTTAAAAAGACATCTATTAATGAACACTCTTTTAAACCTTTCTGTTCGAACTCTCTGTAGTTCATACTCATGTCCGCGATTGCGTAATTCTAATTGACGACTAGGAGGCAGCAAAACTTGTAGGGCATGGTTGGGATCCGTAGTTATTTTCTCCCATAAATCTCTGTCTTTATTGTTTAATATATCAACAATCGATACCTGATACATGAGATATCCATACTTATATGCACGTTTTAAAAGTTTATCTACTTGACTAAGATACTTAGAATACGACGCACATCCCCAGACCTCTATACCAAAAACTAATATTGATAAAACAAGACTATGGAACAGAAGATCCAGCTCTTTCCTAGAAAACCCGTAGTATTTGCAAATCCGAATAATGTACATTCTGCTGCAGGCTTTACTCATTAATTCATCTAGATGCATGTCCCACATGGAAGGATTCTCTTGAAACGTTACACCAAGTATCTTCAACCAACTTTTACGAACAATCATAGGCAGAGGCGCAGGAAGTGGCCGGGTTATCTTCCCGCGAATGATCATCTCCCACGTCTTTTTATAGTTAAGTTTCATGCGATTTGTTTCCGCCCAGTTGATAATATTGTTTGTTTCCATATAAGAGGCGTCACTATCATCTGTGACCTTAATCCCTAGATTTATGTCATCTGCAAATTTAATCCCTGAGCCGACGGCGCGAAGCGCCGTGCGAGGGTACTAATTCCCCCCGGCTATTTACACCCGGGGAAACGAAAGCATTAGCGAAGTCTAAAGTTCATCAAATATCGCGGGCGTGGGTCACTGTGCGTGGGTGGTCATCCTCACTGATCTCAAAAATATGGCGGACTGTCATGAATAGCGAATACTGTGATTGGTCCAATTTAAAGTTAGCATTATGACGACTGCATGACGACAGCGAAATAGCAAACATTTCTTGATTTGATGATTGATAAATTTCTTGCAAATATATTTCATTGTTGCTCGCATTTTTGCAAGATTCTGTAAATTTCAAGAAAGAAAGGGCGAAAGAATCGGCTAAAAGAAAGGGAGCCGACGTTAACGAAGGTAAGTTTGTTTTAAATATTGATTTTATAATTGCTTTAAAACCCGACGGCCTTTGCGTATATGAAACAACTAAACAAGACAGCATATAATTTCATTGTATCTTTAATATTGTTTCCCTTTTTTATTATATTGAATTTTTTAAATAAATAAATAAAAAAGAAAGCAAAGTTATTTGCATGCGAGAATTTGAAATAATTTTATTGCAAACTCAAAGTTTATCGATAAAGCCATTTAATTAAAGGCAGTTTTATAGTTTTATAAAGAACACTTTAAAGTGCCTATACGACTTAATTTTTTATTTGATATTTCGATAGATCATAAAAAATTAGCTTATATATGATTTTATAGTTTTTCAATTACTCTTTTCGTTTGGAAGATATTTTGCGGCTAAGTTAGGAAAAGTTGTTCCATTTCGGTAAAAAACCGAGAACGTAATGGGGGAGTCTGGAAATGAGTCGGTGACGTCATTTAAGAAACAAGATTTATCTTGTTCTAAATTTGTAGTAAATACGTATATATGTACTACCAAAAAACACTACTATCATGCCGGACAGGTGCGCTGTATATGGCTGCTCAAATCAAGCAAGTTTAGAAAATAATGTTTCTGTGCATCGGATTCCTTTTCTAAACGATGACAGAGTTGAGGCGAAGAAGAGAAGGAAGAAATGGGTTGATTTTGTGATGACAACTCGCGACAAGTGGGAACCCACTGTAAATTCGGCTGTGTGTTCTGAGCATTTTACTAAAGATTCTTTTCAGAGAAGATTTGACTTTTCTCCTGAGGGACTGAAAAAGTATTGTCCGAGGCTACTTAGGGATGAAATCGGAATTTTAGCTTATCCCACTCTGCATCTGAAACACAAAACGAAAAAAGAACCTTCGTCACGCGATAAAAGAATGGTGAGTATAAAATGTAGTACATATATTATTGTAAAGCTTTGTATGATTTTAAGTCTCGGTTGACTTTTTAATACTTGACCTTGTTGTATTTTTTCACAGCAAAAAAGAAATGTCATAACCAGCCTCGCCAGTCACTCAGAACAACCGCATACAAAGAAGTCGAAAGGTGAAGAGCATCCCACCGTTTCTTTTGATGAAAATGAACATCTAGACGACTTTTGTGATGAAAATTTTCTTGTGGAAGGACCCTCGGTTAGTTTTGTGTTTGTTAGTGTTTGATTTGAGCAAAGTGTATTACATTTGAATTAAAACATGTTCTGTTTATCGCTCACAGACACAGCTCAAAGACGTTGAAGTGCAATGTTGCCTTGTCGATAAGTCGACTCGACATTATAAAAACATGTGGGCTACCGCAAAATATAAACTTCAACGTTGCCGAAATGAACTCAAGAAATGTAAAATTAAACTAGGTAAGACGAAATTTATCATATGATTTGTGTTTACATGTAATGCATGAGAAAGATTAGCCTTTTTGCAAGAGTTGACTGACTTTTCCGAGCCAACTGGCCTCCATATATTTTTAGCCAATTTGTTATTTATTGAAGGCGAGATGAATATTCGAGAATTGAGGTGTTTGTTTCACCATTTGTTTGTTTCACCATTTGTCCGCTGTGCCTGTGGCTTTTTTAGATTGTTTTGGACTGCCGGCTTTTTATGATATTACTAAAAACGCGAATGCAACTTTTTCCTTGAAAAACGGCTAACGTCATGTTTTCACGTCAAAGCACAGCGGAAATACGACTATATTCTTTTTTGCCGGAAATTTCAAACTATTATTAGCTGTTATCAACATAATTTCTCATGAACCAATCAAATGTCGAGCGACATTCTCATGATGTCGATTTCAACACGTTATAAATATTGTAGTCGCATTCCTGAATGTTTTGACGTGAAAACAATGACACGTTTTAAAAAGAAAAGTATCACAATATTCGCAGAATTGGTAATATTTCTATTATTTTTCAAGCGTTCTCAATTACATGGTAGGATCAAGTGTACGCTAACTGAAACATTGTACTGTACAGGTTATATTGGGTGTGTAAGCGAATCAAGCGAATTGAGTTCTGATGATGAAGCTAATGAAGTGCTTGGATGCAAAAATGGCTATGACTCTGAAAATGACTATGAATCTGAGAATGACCTGGTGTATGAAAATGAATCCCCGTATGACACTGAGGATGATTCACAGTCACAATCAAGTACTGAATTTGATATCAATTCTGACAGTGAGGAACATTACAAGAGGTAATAGTTGTTTGGAAGTTAGCTTCATCCCACCAAAATTTCTAATGAACCATTAAAAAAAGCATCCATACCTCCCACACAGATGAAATTGGAAGTTAACCCACCCCCTTGGATATCCTAATACACATTACTATCCCCCCACCGGACAGCAGAAATTTCCTCTGTGGGGAGAGTGTGGATCTTTTATGTAATGTCCCAATTGTAATTTTTGGCAATCAGTCACAGTAATGAGGTTTTCCAACCAAGGGGGGGGGGAACAAATATAAATTAGGGGGGGCAGCATGTCAAATTTAATAGTGGTTAACTTGACATTTCATTCTTTCCCAGGTGGGTAATTTTGCCAGGATGGGACCTGCCCCCTCCCACTCCTGTGTGACACTACATCACTGATCAGTCAGTAATTGATCAGTTCGTGTTGAGCTTACCGAATTGTTTTATTATAGGGTGTTTGCAACAGACAACAATTTAAGATCAGAGCCAAAGTTTATTGTGTTTTTTACACAATTATTGGCTCTTTTTAAATTTTGTCCCAATTGCAAAGCAGAAAATCCTGATGTTGAGGTTCACCAAAATGGTACTATGGCCAAAGTTAAATGCACCTGTACCAACCCTAAGTGTAACAATAAGAATTTCACGTGGACCAGTCAACCCCTTATTCCTGGAACAAGATTACGAGCTGGAAATTTCCTGCTGTCTTTTGCAATTATTGTTGCTACTTGCTGGAGCATCTGCAACCAAAATCTTAAGAGTCTTACAACACATGGGAGTAGCTTGTATTTCACTATCTACATTTTTCAGTCACCAACGTGTAAGTGAAATTTTTAACAATATTGCTTGTGTGTCAATTAATTACTGTCAAATGGTTAGTTAAATACAACCATTTTTAATTGCCAATAGGAACTTCAGATAATGCTGGATGTGATGGTACTGACCTGAATACACATTTCCAGAAAGTACCGTATGGTACATTGGTTATTTATTCTCAGATTCATGATTGATATCATATATATTTTATCTTTCTACTTAATTGTGACATAATTGTATGAATTAGGTCTTTTACATTAAATATATAATTTATTATCCAGGCACATGATTTCATAAGCATGTCACAAATAGCTGAGATAAACGGTTTTAGGCCAACTGGCGTAGCCAAGGTCTGTACTCCCATACACTCCGGGCAGAAAACGAGGGGGGGGGGGTGCAAAGTGTAGAATAACAATAAAAATATTTTTTCCTTGGTTATTATTTTCTGTCAGCACATGTTTCAGAATGTGTGAAATGCTGTTTTATGGACCCTAGAAATTCAAAATTTCAACAGGGGAACAATGTCCCTTGTTGCATCATATTTTCCTGTTATCATTCTATGTCTGTTTTGCCCCCACCCCCCCATGTCAGCAACCTGGCAACGCCACTGTTTGGGCAGAGATCTGAGATCTTGTCTCTCAGATCTCTGCCTATTAAACAGTGGCGTAGCCAGGGTTGACTTTACAATTAGTTTATGGAAGCATGCACTGAGTGTGATTCACAACCTGTAATCCCCCTAGCTGTTGTCTGTTGAATTTATCAGTGTTGAAACTAGCCTGGAAACTAGCCAGTTTAGTTGAGGAAACTAAATGACAAATAGATAGCAGTGTATATTTTGATTGATTGTTAAATAGTAGAAGTAATTTATATTATTCTCATTCTAGGAAAAATTGTTTCCTGCAATCCTACTACACTGGAAGAAATACCAATCATGTATGATTGAACAATTGAAGTCTTCTGGGAAACAACTTGTTATTGCTGGTGATGGGAGACATGATTCAATGGGGCACAGTGCAAAATACTGTGCATACTCAGTGTTTTGTTGCACTGTTCCCAACATTATTGATTTTTCTATTGTGCAGGTAATTTGATCTTAATTCATGCTTTATTTGTGTTTCATGATAACATTGGTTTGCCCCTCTACCCACAATATTTGGCAAAGTGTCTGCCACTGGTATCAACTACTATAATTGTCTTTTTTTTTCAGAAAAATGAAGTGGGAAACAGTCCAGCAATGGAGTATGAAGGTTTCAAAAGGTCTATGGACAACCTCCTAAAACGAAATATTCCTATATCTACATTTGTATCTGATAGACATACATCCATCGCCAAGCATATGCGGGAAAAGCACAAAAATATCACTCATTACTTTGATCTTTGGCATTTAATCAAAAGTAAGAACAACCAAACTTTATTAGGGTTCAGTAAAGCAATCAGATCATGGATTTAAATACATAAATAACATAGACTTAACTATTTAGCAACAACTTAA